ACGTAATATACAATTTTGACAGAAAGAAATTATTTACATAGTTCCATTCAGGATTCAGCATGTTACAATATAAATTATTCATTTCCGTCAATGTTGTTACGCCTATTAGTGCTGCATAAACCAGATGTTTAAAGTCGCATTTTTAAATTGGAAACGGCAAACTAATGTCACACAACATGTTTTTGGTTCACTACTCAACGAACTTTCTTAATTAAAGTGATGTTGAATGTTTTTAGATTATTGATGAATCATGAATAATCCATTTACATTTAGTCTATTCGCACTTCTATAATTTTTTTGTTATAAATTTGTAGAATTTTTGAAATGAATTAATGTAATAATTTACATTATAGACCCGAGTGAGTCTATGAAGTCGATTTTATAGGACAAGGCTATTTTTGTTTAATCAAAAACTAGCAACCCATTGACGTCAGCTTACAGCTGTAGTAGCTTATAGCTACGAACCATAGATTGTAAAAGCTTTTGTTATTGTAAATTGTGTTATACCTTCATAATCTTTCGTATTATGTAAAATTTTGTTAATAGATATTAGTGTCGAAGGAGTTGCTATACTCTGACAAATCTGATTAGATTTCAAAATGTAAAGTAAAATTATGTTTAATGTTTTTCTAAGTTATAAATGACAAAAAAAAAATCATTTTCATTTGTATGAACAGTAGTACGGTGCACGAAAAGAGGATCGCCACACTATGTACCACTCCTTTCCTGGGACACAATCGGCGAGTGGCAAGCATTACAGTGTATGCCGTCGATACAAGACGACGGCGACGTAAGAACAGAACACAAAGTGGGGTTGACTCCTTATTTCCCTCCGTCTGACAAAACTACGAAACTTATAATAATAAAAACCCGAAATGATTAGAATGATTAGATACACATCTTACAAATATAGGTTTTTATTCAATTTTATTTATCGGTCACTCTTTCAATTGATATACATTGGCCAAAAAAGTTTTCCCTTACATACGTTTCTTTTTTCGTATGGTATGGTTACTTTTTAAATTCTAGTAATTAGTCTATACCGCAATTTGTATCTTACATTTTGAACGTCCGACTATCGATAATAGGTCTTCTTGAAGCATTAATGAATTTAGTACATTGACATTTAAAAAAACTACCATACCATCCACTTGAAAATAAAAAAAGTCTAAAAATCAAATTAAAAAAGTAATCGACAACTAGACAATATTTTAAAAAAGGATGAAAAGTCTTGAACGAATCCCACCTGCTAGCAACACGCGCGCGCATATTTATAATATCGATTTATTTTTTCAAAACGATTTTCTAATATTTGTACTTAATTAAAATTGTATGGAACACTAACCCCTTCATCTATTCCTTCCTTGATCAATTTCTCTATCACCAGATTTATTTTTCGCCAGATACCCGTTTCACACATAATTTTTAGTCAAGATTTCTAAATTTGAGAAAAAAAACAACCAAATATTTCAACAAATTTGTGGAAAGAGAAATAAATCTATTCTCTTTTAACTCAAGCGAAGCAAGACTTTTATAAATGGTCATTCTCATTCAAATTCATTTCAGTCGTACTCGGCTACTTTGCGACGAATTAATTTGTTTAGACAGCATTCAATAGCGGTATAAAGCAGAATGCTACTAACACTTATGGCACCTTCACGTAAGACGCTTATAGAAGCGCTGCAGTGGCATGACTGTGGCAACCGCGCGTCTACAGTAATTTTTATACCGACTTTCAAAAAAAGGAGGAGGTTCTCAATTCGACAGTATGTTTTTTTGTATGTATGTTACGCGATAACTCCGTTATTTGTGAACCGATTTTGACGATTCTTTTTTTTGTTGGAAAGAGGGTACCTCCATAGTGGTCCCATTTAATTTTGAAGAAAATCATCTACCTCTAAGGGTGGCTGTTCACGCATGAAGATTCATTTTTATATAGCGCATAATTTTATTATAAGGAGCAATTATTTTAATGGTTGATTTTGCTATTCTCCAATTCAAGGCGTTTTACTCTCTCAATATACTTTAGAGTAGTGACAGTCGATTTTTATTATCTCCTGTGTCAAGTCTACCACTATACGAGTGGCGAACTAGGGGATGAATCCGGGTTTGCGCACTTTCCGGAAACAGATTTCAATAAAACTTGGCAAATAGATGTAATTCCACATACTTTTGAGGTCGGTTTTTTTAGTACTCTGTACTGAGATTAAGTCACTAATTGTCAGTACAGTAGCACTGCTGCTGCGGTTTTAAATATTGTATGAAAATTAGTAGTGGCGTGGCTGCAGCGCCACTATGAGCGTGTAATTTGAAGGCGACCTTAGGCTGCTGTATAATGCCCAAAATATCCATTGAATGAGAATGATAGTTAATTTACGTAATAAAAAGTAATAAATCACTAATGAAATGAAGAATACTCATTTACATTATGCTAATTTCCGTGTTCTTATTTCGGTGTAACATTCTCGGCTTAATTAAAATTACATTTTCCAAGAGTAATATATAATTTTATAACTCATAACGTGGCCATTGAACATGTAAATTTAGTCATTGGGCGCCGAGCAAAATTTAAATGTAACATACAATAGGCGTTTACTTGTTTTTAATTTCTTTAGTAGAAAAAATAAAACGACAACATAAAAAAAGGTCCGTGGCACCCTTTATATCCAGACATATATTTTATATCATACATTAAAAAATTAAATATAAAGATAAAAAAAGTAACAGTCTTTTACTATGATTGGGTGTTGAGTATCGCTTTGTTCACTGAACTTAGCATAATGTAAATTGGGCATTATTTTGTACTGCATATAGCCTTATCTATATACCAGCGGGCTATTCACGTAAAGCGAGAAAAGGCCCGGTGGCATTATTGTCTTTCCGACTCAAAATATCACCAAAATGAATACCACTGGGTTATTTTCGCCTTACGCGGCTAGCCAACAGGACATACAATTAATTGGCTGTTAGACATTTAATTGTAAAACGATGAATATAATAATCTACAACTTTCTATATTATTTGCTCTTAATTAATTTCATAGCTAATATACAGAGATCGAAATGGACATAGTATAGTGTATTATGAAATTCATTGAATATTAATTACTCCACTAGTTTGTTATAATTATTAATACAAAGATCAAAGACTAAGAAAAATTCCTTCGATCCGGCTGGACTCGAACCAGCGTCTTCAGCATACCGTGCTGACGCTCTTCCAACTGAGCTACGGAATGAGCCAGACCTAACGATTTTTTTTAAATGCTTGTTACAGATCTTTATTTTTGGTTTAAAGGACTTTTTTACCGTAGCGCCATGTGTAACAAATCTATTTCTCGCAGATATACTGAAATATATTTTCGACACGGTATGGTGAAGACGCTTGTTCGAATCTAGCCTGATTGAACGAATTGTTCTTAGTGTTTAATCTTTATATTAATAATTAGGCGTAGTACATTTTTACCCTAACCTAGAGTGGACAATACCTCCTCGTCTAATATTTCGGAATTGTTTTATATTTTGTTCTATATTTATAAAGTGTAACTAGCTATTACTACAGAAGTGTATTTATAAGAAAGGTTTTGTAATTGTAAGTAAAAAAATATACTATTTTGTTTTTTTTTTTAATAATTCCGTGATTTCAAAGAGAGATGTTATCTACTCTATGTGTATTACTTGACGTTTCGGCTAATATATTGTCTATTTCGATCTCGGCTAATATATGACAGTAGTATAAAGATGAAAACTTGTTTAAGGAAAATTGGAAGTGCTTTATATAAAATCAATATTCATTATTCCCGTACCTAATGGTGATTATGTTATGGTTATATGACAAAGAAAGTATTTTTATACTCGTGTGCCGTAGTCAAATAAACTTGTTCTTTGAAGAACATAATACGACACTGAAAAGGTGAAATGTCTAAGATGCATTTGGACAATATTACAGAAGTAAAGTGATTTTTTTAAGAAAAAAAACAACACTAATTTTATTTGCTATATAGAAAATTAGAAAGTTTCAGCTTTTCCATATCGTCGCCTTAATTTCTCAAACTCGTATCTTATAAAGAGTGATTATTCAGGAGATCGCAAAATTTTCTATTTATTTTAAATTTCTTATCAGTGGTGTTTAATTTGGATGCATTGCTTTAAGAATAGGTAAAAGCCAGTGTGTGAATATGAAGGAAATGTGATGTGAAATCAGCCTGCAACATTTGTATATACAATCTATAATAATAATAACCACACACACTCCTAGCCCCGCACTAGGGAAACCCTGTATAGCGGGTGCCATGGACAGATACATAGACAACCGCAAATTTTACCCAAACCCAAGAGAGAAATAAATGTAGGCCATACAAATATTTCTACCCGCTAGGGAATAGAACCCGGGTCCTCTGCAGGGCAGTCCAGCATGGTAACCGTTCGGCCACGGAGGCATCTGTTTTATGCATTTCAGTAACTTTGTGCTTTATGATACGAGTTTGAGAAACTAAGGCGACGATATAACAAACAGAAATAGTTGTTTTTTTTTATTTCTTAAAAAAATTCTTTAAATTGCTCTTCTGTAGTATTTTCCAAAGGCACGTTATAAGTTTTATCTTTTCAGCGTGGATATAATAAAATTAGTATAGTATGTACGCTTCCTAAGAACTAAAAAAAAAAGAAATATTCAAATGTAATTACCGCGACTATTGCGCGACAAAAAAAAAACATTTCTATATAGATTTCAAGGCTTTCGTGGTTATTCACAAAATTATTGTCACTAATTACAGGTTTCTTACCACGGTATGAGTTCTGTTTTTGACTGTCAACCCGTGACCATGGAGCGTGTAAGCGTTCCGAAAAACCTGGAAAAAACTCATACCGTGGTAAGAAACCAGTGATTAGTGATAAAACAAAAGCATTTCTATCATTTTTTAAATATATTTTTTTAAATCTCAATATTTTCCCTTTATTTCATTTAGTATAATGAAAAAAGGAACGTATTTTACAATACTGCATTGTGTTTAACTGTAAAGGATATGGAGTTATAAAAAGATTTCCTATTTAGCGTTCACCAAGTAATGTAAAAAATGTTAGACTAACTTTTAGACGCTTGATTATTATCAATAACAAGATGAAAAAATCTTATTTAAATAAACTCTAACACATATTCACTAACACTTACATGAGCGTAACAAATGTATTATTGCAAATTTCCTAAATCGTGTAGTAAAGTTTGAATAGATACAACGTCGAAATGTAAAAAAACATCATTTCCGTTAACAAAAGTACATAGACGGATATATACTCATTATTGCTTGCGCATAAGAACAAAAACGGTACGCAGATATTATATTGGTGCACAAGGTTATTTGGATGCAGATAAGCAATAACAACGTTGTAGTTATGAAAAGATGGTATCTAAATATTTTCGCTTTGTTTTTGATAGTTTATTCCATAAATTCCCAAATTTTTTGGCCCACTTACACAAGATAAAAAAATTTCAGCTCCCACCACCACGGAAAATAATTGAAAACACGTATGTTTTATACTAACGTAACACAACAAATCACAAGGAAAAAATATTATATAAGTATTGTGCAGTGAAGTTTAGATAATTGATGTTTTTCTTTTCAAATGCGGTAGGGTCACCCTCTGGACAGCATCAACATCCCCAATGGATTTCGAGGCACTTAGCCCCCCTAGGACTCTTCAGCGCCCACTGGGAGGCGGTATGTACCACTTTGTGGAAACTACGGTTTATTCTAAAATTTACTTATAAAATGAAAACTTTGTACTTATTGTTGTTGTTGGGGCATTATAGTAATAAATCTCAACAAATCATCATAAAGTAAATTTTAGAACAAACTATCAAAAACAAGGAAAAAGTGTTTAGGTGACATTTTCGCAAAACTATGATCATGTTAGTGCACACGTTATTGCTTATCAGTATCCATTTGTAGTAAAATACTAATAACCTCCCAGGACTATATTACTATCATAAACAACAACTTTTGTTCCATGGTTTTTAAATAATTCATTAGATTTTACGTTCATATAAAACTCGATCGCTCTAAACGGTGGTAACTCTGTGCGGTAACAAAAGAAAGCACCAGTCCGATGCTTAACGCAGGAGCGGTAGTAGTGGTCGTCGCGAATTTACTACGAAAAACAGATCTAAAAAGTGTAATCTATTATGTTTTGTAAAAAGTCATAGGACAAAATTTGTTGTACATGATGTTACAATAGCCCTGCAAGGTTGTTAGCATTTTACAGAATAAAAAAATCGGCTTCCATTTCGTTCACATGGCAATGTAAACTGAGCCTCAGTTTTATTATGACACGCCCTTGCAGCAATTTTTACGGCAAACGAGCGAGTGACTGTCACAGACTATCATAGAACGCGAAGCCCGCGATCAACGTGTTCTGAATAAAAAAAACCCTAACTTTTAATGGATATTAATGGAATCAATCACACTTCTTAATTGAATCAATCAGAACATGATTAAATCAATCACTTAATATGCCTGATTTAATCATGCTGTGATTGGTGCAATCAAGAAGTGTTATTTATTCCATTATGATCCATTTTATAAGTATCAGTTCCTTTTTCATGATAAGGCGATAGCGCTATGGTATTAATATATTGGTTTTCAGTTTACTATTGCCGTTGCGTTGATTTTACCATTTACCTGTCAAACGCTTGGAAACTGTAAATTTTTGACAGAATGTAATCAGTAAAAGTATAGTTTAATTATCAACATTGTACTGGAAAGATAATAATACTAAAGACAACGCGCCATCGTTCGCCTATCTCGGTCAAACTACTGATATGACTCATGCAATGAATTTTCAACTTATCACAATTTACGCGCACGTAATTCAGCTGCGTCCAATCAAAAGCTCGTGTGACCGTTTGGCGTGGCACTTGTTGACCTTTGCTAGTCGGAAGTGATGTTTGTACCTTTTGACGATTTAACAATGAACGGTGGGTCACAATTTGAAAGACAACAAACAATATGTCAAAATTCTTCGTTGATAAATTGTACCTTAAGTCATTTACATTTTGAATTTGCAGCGTCAAATAGAGACAGTACAGATTTAACTGTGGCCGAAAGTACGTTCCATGTTGTTATAAGATATAAAGCACTTCTAAAACTCACGGTTGCCCCCCCTCTTCAATCTCCACCCTCACCGATTCCAGGGTCGAGTGTTCCATAGCGTGTCGCGCGTGCGTGTGCGGTCCTACTCGCGCAATTTCAGCGCGTGGTCTTTGATAGCGCCACCATCGCCTTCGGATACGAAGCGTTTACGACCTCTGCAAGGAAAACAGGGTATTGAATACTATTCGTCTATAAGATTCATTGTATTGAACTAAATCTATCAATAAATATTTCTTTTACTTTTTGACCGTCGGCCAGCACGTGGGCGCCTTGGTCAGTAGGTCACGGGTTCAATTCCGTGCAGAACTGTTTGGCTGTTCTGGATAAATATATTTATATTCTGTCTCTCTGCTTCAGTGTAACCTTTTAAAACCTAGCATAAAATTTAACACAACATGCTTTTGCAAAATTTGACACCAGTAACAAAAAATACAATGTGAATTCTAGCACGTAAGTGTTGTGTTCAATAATGGGAATCTCTTTCGGTCGTAGATAGTGGTTTGGCCAGAGCAACGAGATAATTTTTTTTAACAACGCCATCTATATCTTTCACAACGTACTATCAAGATATATAATTGACTTTCATTCAAATCATAGCATTTATGAACCAGTGACGCATGCGCGACCTCAATGATATATTGCAGAACGATATATAAATAGGTTGATTATTTATCCAGCGTCTCCAAGAGTAAGTATCATTTCGCTCCTAAATCACGCATAACAAGTAACCGCGAGAGTAACAAGGCAGTCAGCACACTTGTCGACACGAAATCGGATTGAGATTCAAAAAACAAGCTTTCTATCCATGGATGATATTACATGTAATAAGAGCCAAAAAGACGTTGTGTCTTGTAAGATAAGACAATTTTTTTTTTTTATAACTTGTTTAAAACCTACTTGGTTTTCAGTTGTTAATAATAAACACCCTGGCCTGTTTAAGATGTATTTCTATGTTTGATATGTTTTGACTGTTGTATATTATAATTTCGGAAGCATTCCTGTATTTTCATAACATATTATACGAAAAAAATCTAATTCTGCTCATTTAACATCTAAACACAAAAAAAATGTAAAGGACGCTAAAAAACGAAAAACAAAATGAAACCTCAATTGTTATACAATCGTCATAAAGCTATAACAATTAAATATTTGAACTCTAATTAGTGTAATTGTGATGCCTAAGGTAAGTAAATAAGTGCTTATATTTTATGCATCTTGTTTGTGCATTTTTATTTATATTTGTGCACTCTTATTGCAATGACATAAAGACTGACATGACTAACTCAGCAGATATGTGGTGTCACCATAAGGGCGCGTTCCCATCACCTTGTAACGTTCTATTTATCGTTGGATGCCTGACGCGTTTAGCCTGTTCCCATATCACGACTGTCTATCTTGACTGTGTCGTGGACGTTATTTTTATCGTTGAACGACTGTCGTGTTTAGCTATTTCCACTGGATCGTGACAATTTATCGGTTCGTGGCAGCCGTCTTGTCGTTTGCACGACAGAATCGTTGGATGTACAGCCGGGGGACTAGAGGGGACAGTAGGGAGCAGAACATGCGCAGACAACGATAAATAAAACTTTTTTTTTAAATTATCTATCGTCTCGTTTTTATTGTGACTTTTTATTTATCGTCCGACGACAGTCGTTCTAGCTCTTTCCATTATCTTGACAATCTGTCGTCGTAATGTCGTAAAAATTCGTGAACGACAGTTAACCGTGTTGTACGAAGAACTTCATTCAAATATACAAGCCACGATACTTGAAACTGCACGACTATCTGTCGTCACGTACCCTAAGTCAACAAAGGTGGCGCAACTCACCGCGTAGGCATACGCTTGAGAACGATTTCGCCAAGGCGGAACTTGTGCTGGCAGCGCTCCATGAAGCGGTCCAGCATAATATACGCCAGCGGCACGTCCAGTACTATGTCGTTCATGTCTTCTAGAACGCGGAGAAAGCCCTGAAAAGACAATTTAATATAAAATTGATCCTAATAATTACACATGTACTACATTAGGTATCTATATCAATATAATATTATATTTTTCATTAATTCATTAACTAGAATAAACCTGGTTTATTTAAATAAAAATAAATTTAAAAGCACTTTATTTATTGCATAAAATTGCACAGCATTACAGCAAAATACTAAGGCACTGTGAAATTCATAAATAGACAATTTGTATTAATAATTCACAGAAGACAGACGTTCATTCATCCTCTCACAAAACCTCAAACATTCATCACACTTAAAATGTTATATTTTGGACAGGTATTTTTAAATAAGGTAATCAAGGTATTTGAAATTGCATGCTACATATTTATCGGCAATACAAATTGAAAATCCAAGAATCTTGTCTACTATATTACATCTCATTATATTGATATAACAAATGTGTATTATATTACTCTGCACTAAAGAAAACAATAACTGAACGAGTCTCAGACATAAGTTTTTTTCATATTCGTTTCATCTTTAGGAAACCGAAAGAAACACTTCTCTTTATCCCGTTCAGATGATGATAAACAGCCGTACACAGCACAATTCACGACCATTATAAATAGGAATGTACAACGATGTTATATATTAACGAACAAGTTTCGTAATGAATAAATGAAAACTATATTCAAATATCAAAGCCGTCTTCGCGAGAAAACGGCTCGCCGACAGCCTTGTTGCCGTTCAGTCAATGTGACAGTGAATGGGCGTGGTGCGGTATCTAAAGCTAGGGAGGGGCGGAGTGTCCGTTCTCGTTACTTTTTTGTTCTGTACCCTTAGCACACTATTACTGTAGCTATTGTTCTGTGGTGTGTAACAAAGTAAATTAAAAGTGTGCTTTTGAATTTAGCAGACGTACCCTGTCCATCTGGTCGGGCGAGACGATGAGACAGCGACGCAACTCTGCGAGGAACGTGCACAGCTGCTCCTCCACAGAAGAATTTATTGCCTCCACTGCTAGCAACACCGTCTGCAATAATATTTGATTTATTTATAGGTGATCCCGCTTCCCTCTGTTATATAGGGACCCGTGTTCAGAAGTGTGACGAATGATGATATTATAGTTTATGATGATAATATAGGTTTAAGATATAGATTTAGATTGTAGTCAATTTGATAAAGTAGTCTGTATTTATCTCCTTGCTTTCCTTTGTTTAGTTTTTAAGTACTATTTTGTATTTTGTATAACTTCAAAGCAAGTTATAGAAAAAAGACATTTAAAATAATAATAATAATTTTAATGAAATGATTGGATAGCAGCGAAAAAAAACCTTTTTAATGGCTCCATCGTTTTCGTTCAGTAACTTAGTCTTTTCACCACAGGTGTCAACGTCAAATGTGAAAAAATAATCGGAAAACATTTGCTTTTCTGAAAAATATGATTTTTTCAAAATGGAAATTTCGCCAAAGTTACGAAGTTAGTTTGACTGTTTGAAGAAACAAAAACACTTATTTTAATAAAAATTTCTTTTTCCGTTAAAAAGGCACCTTGGCGACATTTAAACACCACACTTATTAGCACAGAAGATACTAGTCACTTCTTTTCACAGGTTAACTAATTCTACAGCTAAAACAACTATGGTTTTTAAAGGAATTTTACATTTTATGCTGCATAATTACACTATGGTCATAACCTGCGACCTACCTCATACACAAGCTCATGATGAAAATGCGGCACTTCGAGCTCCCGTACGCAACGCATGGCCTCGGCCAGGTCGCCACTTGTCAGGTATTCCTTCAGTAAAAGTTGAATCTGCCTGATGAGTGACTTTACTGGCCTGCAATGTGGAAAAGCAAATCTATTCTGCCGTTCTTTTAATTCTTATCACAAACAATCGCAGTACAGAGTACAAAAAAAAGTCAAAAGTCATTCATCCCCTATTTTGCCACCCTTAGTGATGGAATACTTTGTTTAAATTCGACCCCTTCTATGTAAAGTATCGTATGTCAAAATTGCCAAGTTTACAGGGGAGCGTTTTAAAGTTTTGAATTCACTGAAATGCGCATAACCGCGGCTGTATACTATGCGAATCGGAACTGATGTGAATCGAACTACGTATGCTGTTAAGGTTGGTATTTATTGTGATAGGTCTTAATAGTCAACATCTGCAGATCATTGGTGTTTTGTAAAAATTGTGGAAAAATTGTAAAGCGATATAAATTGTATTTAATGTTTTTGTACCTGATTCCACCGCCGACTCCCCAGATGTTATCGAGCCGCACGAGCCCTTGCTTCATAGACAATAGCGTCTCCGCGCGGTGGATAGCTTGTCTGCAACAAACAATGTCCAATTAACATTAACGGACGAATTGGAATTTAGAACACTACAGAATACACCCCAAACAAATATACACTCTAGACTACAATTGAGACCCTGTACGAACTTTCGTTCTCCGTCTGAAACGATTACTGTCAAATAATTAATAATCGACTGACGTCTTTTAGAAGCATGATGGGAATGAAGCTTCTTCATACTTGACATTGTCTTTTCAAATGGTCGAGTGTTACTTATTTGACTGTAATTGTTTCGGACGGATATCGGTTGGGGAAGAGAGAATAGACTCCCTGACCATAAATAAATGCTCTAGTTCTACCGAATCACTTGGCAGTCGGGTTGAGCTCAGACTTCATCTTGCTTTTAGTGTACATGAACCTAAAAAAGTACATGAAGTCTTAGACTTATAAATAAAAGTCTGCTTTAGACCTAATATACACCTCAGACTGGCAATATACACACTACACCAAACTCACAAGCCAGGCGGACAAAAGTTTTCTGCTGTAGGTATAAGCTGTACCCTGCTTTGCGACTGTATGAACCACAGCTACAGACTAACATCCACAGGCCTTCAAATATATAATACACTATGCTAATATACACAAGCCTCACAGATATATACCTCCGACTTACAATTATACACTATAGACCAGACTCACTTTGCAGGTGGATTCAGCTCCATCTCGTTTTGCGTCTGCACGAATCGCGGCGGCAGGCAATCATCGGCGACGCATCGCGCGATGAAATTGGACAGCAGGATCGGCGCATCGGGTGTGTCCAACATTAAATCTGGCAGTTTTTCTAGTAACCGCTCAAACGCTGAGGACAAATTATATATATGTTTTTGTTTCCAACAAAATAATGTGTTTGTATAAGTGCTAACAAAATTATCTAAAAGTATTTTGAATTTCAAACCCTATACAAAGATCTGCAATAAACATACGTGCATATTAGCACCCTTACCCTTCAAAACCGGAACGCATTAATGCTCACATTATTGTTTGGCAGCAGAAATATTTAAATAAATAAATAAAATACTTTTATTTCGGACAACAAGTTACATATTTTGTTAGTAATAATAATAATAAAAAAAAAAGAGCTTATAAACTAGTGATTTAAGGTGGCAGTACTTCCCTGGACGAACTCTTTCACAATGATTAAATTAATTCCGGGGCACTACCAAATGAGAACCAACTTAGAAAAATTAATTTCTCAAATTGGTCCTACAATGCAAACCGTTGGGCCACAAATGGTGATTGGACATTTTGCGAATTGGACGTACAGCGTCTGAATACATAATGAGACTTACCCAATGCAATGTCATTGGCGGAGAAGACCCTGCCGTACAGGTCTGAGATAAGGACGGAGGCCATTTCGCAGTGCGACGGCTTATGGTCCAATGCTATTTCTATAATTGTTTCGCATACCTGTGAACCAAAAATGTAGGTATATATTTATTTGTTTTTCTTTATTTACGAGCTTTGTTCCCTTCGGTGTAACGCGCTCCAAGTTCTAACACTCTCGTATACTGGTAGGACTCCGCCAGTGGCGTGACAATAATAATGAATTTATTTGAGACAACATTTAAAATATCAATTCTAATATTACTAGAGCTATAGGGTAGTATCCTCGCCGCTGATTTTTTGTTTTAATTTTATTTTATTGGTTCTCTAAGAATTAAACCATAAAACATATAGTTAATTTAATTTATTCAATTTTACGAAATTTCCTAAATCAAGATTCAACACTGTCACTGTTATGCGGAACCAACCATTTGATCTTGTATTTAAATAAATATAATTTATGTGAAAGGACAATGGCAAAATCCCAGATAAATTTTAGTTGACAATCTGTATGCGTCTGTTTAAGAAAAATATGTGAAAATATAGAGTTGAAATGCCTGAACAAATTTTGTTTTGGGTTTACTATTCTGAGAAATCTGGAATTAAAGATATTCCAGTTTTAAGTTTTGGAGGTTATGTGTTACGTAATTGAATAAAATATATTCGGTGTATTATTATATCAAAATAAACTAAAGAAGCCTTAAAAATTAATAGAAGCTGAATGGTGTCGTGGGTTTGTGACGTGACGAAAGTTCATAGGAAATAATTTTTTAAACTGATATGGTCAAAAGGTATGATGTTAAGCCATAACAAAAGTTTTCCACACCTCAGACTTTCTCGATTGCACTGGTAACTCGTGCACAAATATTTTTTTTGTGAAACGTGCCATCTATCTCCGATTTCGAGATTTTTTATCAGTTTTACCATTTTCTCGCGTGGCTTTTTGGAGAAGGAATTATCTACTTTATTTTTTATCATGAAATAGTTTTACAAATCGGTCGGATCAGTAAATTGATAGTACGTGAACACGCGTAGGTATTGTAAGTCTTTTTTTTGGCGGCTAGATGTCGCTCAACGTTAAGAAACTGACAGTTGTACATATCAGTCCGGTTACATACTAATTAGTCATTAGAGTTTCTTTTAAATACGATTTTATTTCCAGACTTAGACAGGCCGCTATTATATTTTGAAAAATGTAATGAATTTATTTTATTCAAACTTGCAATTAAGATATTTGAAGACGCTAACGAATTATTTTAACTATGATTTTGGCCATTGTTCTTTATAAAGCGAGAGCAAAAATATGTAACTATCTCCATTGTGATGACTTTACCAATTAAAACTTCCAGTGGTAGTTGAGATATCAACGAATTTCAATAGGTTCACGTGACTTGATGGAAGCATTAAAAGACAATGAATTGAATACCCTATCTCTATTTCGTCTATAGAGACAATAGATGATTGTCGGAACGATCCGTACCTGTTGTAAAAGCCAATATATGAAGATAAGGGTCTCACCAGATGGCTGCGCTTGCCCAAGACGAATTCGAGGAAGTCCTCAGCCGCCGCGTTTGTGTCTCCATGCTCGAAGTACTCGAGGATTATTGGCTCAGCTTTGCGCTAAAATAAAAACATACGTGATTAAATGTTTGTCATGGAAAAACGTAATCGTAGCCTATGATTGAATACTATCTAACAATGCTATCGTGTCAATACAGTGTTTTGTAATTCCATAACAACAAGAATCTTTCGACTGCTGTCAAGGGAAGAGATGTATTCGTTTTTCAAAAAATAGATTATGTTCCAAAGTAAAATTACAATGGCTAGATCATTGACCTAGGTCAATGGACTAGATAGATTTTTTCGTATCTAATCATTGACTTACAAATAAATGGACGACGGGTCTAATACAAAAACCACGAAAAAAATGTCCCAAGTCAACCTATTCGAAATTTAAATTAAAGTAATGTCATCGCAGTATCGCGCTGTCAATCGAACAAATGAAGACTAAAGCGGAGTTTGGCGCTCTGTATACGATTTTAGCGCCTTACAAGTGCGGACACTTTTTAGCGCGGACCCGACGTCCATATAATTGTAAGTCAATGTATCTAATGTACAACAACGTAAGATAAATATAACATTTTATGTTATTAACCTCAAAAATTACAAAAAAAAACGGAAAATCTTCGCTGTTCCCTGTTTTTGATATTACAGTGTTTTGGTTTGACACGGCAGAATATAGTAATAACAAAAAGCCCACATAACAAGATATCTAATACATTTTTGTATACAAACCTACATGAAGAACGATTTGAATGTATATTGAACAAATGGAACGCCTGACTGTTTTCAATTCATAATTATGAATCAAACTTCATCTTCTACAAAAATAAATGTAGACAATAAAGTTCAATTAATAATTATGAATTAAACTTCAACTTCTACATGACAAAGTAACGTTTATTTACATAATAAAATTTAAAATAAGAAGCAGAAAACACTTTATGATAAATTATATAACAATAAATAAATAATATAGGACATAATATTATACTACATAATTAAAACTTTTTTATAAAAAAGACCTCAAAACTTCGTGGAATTACATCTATTTCATAAGGTTTATTGAAATCGATTACCGTTACCACCCTTGGAGGTAGAATATTTCCTCCAAATTTAAATTAGACCAAATACTGCAGTGCCATCTATCATATATAATATGCTGTGAATAAAAATGAAAAGAAATCGTACGATATCTAATCGAATCGGTCGACAGCTGAGTTATCGTTAGGTTCTGAATTGACGCCCAGGTTCGATTCTCGGGCCACTAGAAATATTTCTAACGTCTACATTTATTTATTTCGTGAGTTTGGGTATAATTTGTGGTTGTCTATGTATGTGTCCATAGCGACCGCGATGCAGGGTTTCCCCAGTGCGGGGTCATGAGTGTGTGCGTTTTTACCATTACTAATTGAAAAAAAAAAAAAACTTCAAGGATGAAGTTTCTGAAGTTTTTTTTAACCATGTTCCGTTTAATTTCAATTACGCGTAATATATTGCCAAGTCACGTCAGATGTGATCGAGTTGTGAGAGGATTAGACAAGTTAACAATGCACAGGTGCAAGCGACAAAGGTAGATTGTCTCGCCTGTGTGGTAACTTGTACTAAGTTATATTACTGCTTTATGATAAGAAACTGATAACTCAGTATGACGTTGAAAATAATAATGGTGCGCGAATTGATTATGACTGCTGTTTTTGTTTTATACAGGGTTTTCCCAGTGCGGGGCTATGAGTGTGTGGGTAACCTATCACAAACTCGAATTTTTTTTTCCGAAATAACGTTTGTTCGAATTTTCATTACCTACACCGAAAACCGAATAGTAACGAAACAGTTGTTCTTTCAGGATTAGTTGCATGTTTATCGCAATGACACGATTAGGTTAAGTTAGGGTTAAAAGAAAAACATATTCCTCTCAAAATTACTTTCGAGGTTATGAAATTTCGACCAAACGTTATTTCTGGAAAATGTCACTTCGGAGTACTGATAGGTAACCGAGTGCGTGTGTTGTTATCATTACTAATTGAAAAAAAAAATCATGCCGGGATTTTGAGTTCATGAGAGACAAGTTAGCTTACCATAACACACACACAGAACATAACCCCGCACTAGGGAAAACCTGTATCGCGGGTGCTATGGACACACACATAGACAACCACAAATTACACCCAAACTCACGAGCGAAATAAATGTCGGCAATACAAATATTTCTCCCGGTCCGGGAACCGAACCTAGGACCATGGCGTGGCAGTCCGGCGTCGTAACCGTTCGGCGACAGACGCAGTGATGCATGATAGTTATATTACTTAATTATAATAAATGAAAGTTAATAATACTTATAAGGAGAATTATCCTCCTTACGCGATGTACACGGGCATCAAAATATGCATAATTATGAGAAGTGATTCAGACTCACACAAATTATGCCCATGACGACGTAAACGCCCAGTGTACATTATAAAGACAATTATACTTTTTTATTAAAAAAAAATAATCTCAAGTTTGCTTATCCGTTTTCGCTGTGTTCGTTGCTTTATATACGTAGCTGTTAGTTTCCCTAAAACGAGAGTACAGGGGCCTTGGGGTCTACTAGCGTTCTCCGTCCGACATCCGTCCGAAACAATTACTGCCAAATAAGCAATACTTGACCAAATGAAAAGACGCGTGATGCGAATGAAGCTTCATACTGGATACTTGTCTTTTAATTTGGCGAATATTACTTGTTTGACAGTAATTGTTTCGGACGGAGATCGAGAGTAGACCCCCTGATACAGATCGAACGTCGTACGCAAACGCTCTTAGGGGTAGAATATTTTCTTCAAATTTGAACGATGACAAAACAAATCATCGAAATCAGTTCACTAATTTCCGTGTAATCGTGTAGCATACGTACAAAAAAAAATTGAGAACCTTCTCCTTTTTTGAAGTCGGTTTAAAATAACACATATACACAGGCATAGGCTTCAAACTTATAACTCCTCACTTTTTGTGTCGAGAGTAAACAATAATTGCGGTTTATACAATATGTAAGAATAGACTAAAAAGACAAGTAAGTCTGCCCCAGTAAACTAAAAGCCGCGTCTGTCGGCTTGCCGGCGAACAAAAATAAACAGTATTACGAAACAAGACGTGGGTTTAGGCACAGTTATGCTATAATTAACAGGTTTTGTTTTCGTGAATTGCTTTCCTGACATTTTGCTTTCACCCATATACACAGGACCAGCTATCTGCAGAATACTTGTATCCAGCCATCTTTAACGTCAGGCTGCTAGACACGTCTCTTTTAATCTGCAGTTATGGGCTCCAAATTAAAAAATATAATACGCACTTAACAACTAACATAGTATTATCTCAAAAACTGCGTGATATTATATTTTATCACAAAATTGCGATATATTAATGTTAGCTTACCTAATCGATTCGGTATAGGAATACAAATTCAAAATAATCTTTATTTCATAGGTAAGCATTATTACACTTGAAATCGTCACAATGGTTAAACTCTACCGCTCATTCGTAAGGCAGATTCCCCTGAGAAGAATGAGCAAGAAACTCTAGGGGTTGCTCTTTGTAAATAACATTTGTACGCATTCAACATTTACAATATATATTTTTTTTTATTTGAAACATCAGAGATCGAGACTACCTCCATTAGCTAAACGGGTTACTACATCCAAGTACACAGAAGTTGTATAATAACCTTTAGTATAAAGTTTTTGTTTCACTATAGTTTTAAACCTCGTGAAAGGCAAATTTTGTATATCAACCGGAATCTTGTTATAGAAGCGCATACATTGCCCCTTAAATGATTTTTTGACTTTGTGAAGACGACTATCAAGAAAAGCTAGTTTATTTTTATTCCCCGTATTAATGTTATGTCTCTCACTATTTTTCATAAACAAATTACTATTCCTTTTACACAAAACATTCTATTGATATCGGCGGCATTACCCCAAAGCAAAATGCCGTATGGCATTAGACTGTGAAAGTAGTAAAGAACCAGGGAATAACCGCTGCAGGTAATTAACATATTATTTTTATTTTTTATTTTTATTATCACGAACCCGTCCGATGGCTTTCGCCGTCACCCTCACTGTTGTCATCTTTTTTTTTTTTCAAAATTCCCCATCCTAACGAAATGGACAACTAATTTTCCAAATTTAATAATTATTGTAAGTCGTGATAAGTATTTTAAGTAAATAATAGATTAAACAATAGTTTTTGCTAACGTTTATAATTTATCTCCAAAATTTCCCTATATTTATATGTCATTCGTATACGATTTATTATTATTATATATTATTTATTAATAGATAATATTAATATAACTCAAAGCAATCTTGTGATAATACTATGTTAGTTGTCATGTCCGAATAAACGGAAATTCTATTTCCTACCGAAACGCAGCCAATTTTTCTGTCGCAGTTCTGAACATTTCTTGTAATCAGCCCTTTTATACGTCCCACTGCTGGGCACAGGTCTCCTCAGTCAGGTCAGTCGAAGATTGTGGACCTTCATCGACGTGCAGGTCTCATCACGATGTTTTCGGTCATTCTCGGACTAGTGTTGACCACCTAATTTCCGTGGCATTTTTTTATTATTTAATCGTCAAATGATAAAAGATGAAACCTGCACGTTGAAGAAGGTTCACAACCCTCGGAAAACGTGTGACGTCCCCAACCCGCATTGGGCCAGCGTGGCGGACTATGGCCTAAGCCCTCGTCTGAAAGGAGACCATTCTGTATTTATTGTAACAAAGATAATCCCTAACTACGGAGGGCTGTTCCATTCAGTGGTGTGGGAAAAACAACAAAACATCTAATTACAAAACAAACGGAATCAAATTCTCTACTATTTCAAAAAAACTTTCTACTATTTCATATTTAACATGATTTAAATTTTTAATTTGGATTGTATTTTGCTGCAATTTTACCAATACTATTGTTACTAATTTTTTCTTTTAAATTTTTAATTTTTACTATTCTTACTTTTAACCCTAAAGTCACTTTGTCACGTCATGCTATTTTTTCTGTGATATCCTATAATTGGCAACACTTGTT